TGTGTGTGTGTGTGTAGAGACCCTTGAGGAGAAGGGCAGGCAGAGTCTCCTGCTCTCCACTCATCTACCATGAAGTAAATTAATAAAGAGTAGGAACGATCAAGCACATTTGTTTTCTCACTCACACACACACACACACACACACACACACACACACACACACACACACACACACACACACACACACACACACACACACACACACACACACACACACACACACACACACACACACACACACACACACACACACACACACACACTTCCTGGTGAGATCAGGACCTTCACACCTGCACTGTTAGCCTCCAGATGGTGTCTCTCAGGGGTCTCTCTGCCCTGACATAGTTTGAAAACAATTCAACTGTATCCCTGCAACAGGTGTCATTCATATTGATAAGGACAACGCTCCCTATCAGGAACACATGGCACCTGCATGGTACACTGAACAGTTCTCATAAATGAACAAGTAAAATAAAATAACAATTAAATAAAGAAAATCTGACAGGTAGGATTTGTATAAAGTGGGACAGTGTAACAGGATCCTTCAGCTGGGTCTATATAACCTACAGTATATTCAGCCGGGCCTCACGGGGACACGTACCTCTCTCTCTCTCTCTTTTTACATACAGCCAAAAGTAGGAATAAGAGGCATGTGGAGTGCATTAACATACTGGAACTGAATCAGGAAAGTTCTGACTTTTAATGAAAGATACATGAGACGACTGCGTTTAACCATTTCAGTTCTGCCTCAACTCAGATGTGAAAACCTGAAGTGTTTCCTGAGCACATGATTATTTTTAAAGAGCACTGGTGTTTGTAATGGTGTAATATATTGGCAATGGCAATACAATATTATGTTTTATTTTGATGCAAATTCGTTTTACAAACAATACCATATAGTGTAGTTTCTTGTCATTATTCTGACAGAAAAATTGGTTAAATAAAACTTAAAGGTGGGATAGGTAATTCACTTCAGATACACTTTTTGTTATATTCCATGGAATGCTCTTAACATCCCGATAGCAATGAATACATTAAGTGCTTTTACAATAAATACATTTAAAAAATGTCATCTGTGGAAGCCGTGGCGCTGTAAAAAGCACGGCCAATCATCTGAGCCGGCCCGGCTAAAATAAGTGGATGGCCTACCTGTCTGTCAGCCTTCCATCTCGTGCACAAACTTATCTCGTGCCCTCATTGGTCATGTGCGTGTTCGTGTGTGTTGGAGGAGGGGCTCTGTAAGGAAGTCTGAAGGAAGGGGCCGATTTTTTCCGGTTATGTATTTTCAAATTCTAGCGCACTCGAGCTGGTTTCTCCTTTCTTACCTACCTACCTTTAATATTAGCCAGTTTGTAATTCTCCTTAGTCCTGAATTATTACTTTTTCAATACAAAGAAAATTAATGTTTGACAAAGAATTTACAGCTTTGTCCACCACAAGAAATGGTTCAAATTATTAGATTTCAACCATTTTGAATTGCCATTAGGGTTTATTTACCCTAATGACCTTTAGCTTTTTTTAAGATTGTATAGCTATCCAATCCGTCCAGATTTCCCCTTAAAAGTGGCTTCAAGGCTTCTTTATGCTGAGTTATATACCAAAAAGAAGATGCTTTGTTGACAGCAAAGTGGACACTGAAATGTGAGAAAAAGCATTTGTTTTTGTGTGTCATATAGCAACATGTTATGTTGTGTGACTTGTCTAGAATGATTTACAGCGAGCAGCCCAGAATCCATATAAATCCTGCATGCCTCATCTCACCATGAAAAGTTAAATCGTAAAGTGGTGAGTTTTGGTGTCACAGTAACTGTACAACTATGAAAATCAGTGATGCAGAGGTTAGTGATAAAACAAACCATGTTTTAGTCTTCTAGAAATCTACACTGCGTCCCAGCAATCCAATATAAAACACATAATGACTCTTTTAACCTCACATTCCTCTCTGCCTATCCTCATTAACGGTACACTGTTACTCCTCGCTGCTCGCCATTGTCTTCAAATCAAATGCTCCTGATGGAAATCTGCGAAGACTGAACTTTTCTGTACATTCCCTGGAGCGTGCAAGTGATGAAGCCATTAAAGCTTCTGAAACAGATGGAAATGATGTGTTGTAATTATGCTCTATTGTTGCGCCTGTTATGGCATTACATGCAGGCACTTGTGAGTGCCACCTCTGCTGGAAGCCACAGACCGCCTTTCTTTCAGGATCAGGGGGCGTGTCCTCTGCAGGGTTTTAGGTGGGCATCGGAGCATGTCACGAGCATTTTGACTGACCCCCCTCCTCTGGCTGCCCCTCCTCTGTTTCTGCACTGCAAACCCACACACTGCCAAGGTCACCGGATTAGCATGCATGAGAGAAAGCGCACAATATTCTCCAAACATGAACCAAAACGTAAACGAGAAAGGACACAGGGTCCACGGAGCATACACAGCATGCTGGGTAGCTATGCCGAAAAAAGGGGCGTTGGTTTGCTTCTTTGCTCGCATCCAGTATGAAAGTACTGCGACCTCTTGTCTGGATATTTCCTTTGTTATACCTTCAGTTCATTACAGACATACCGTGTTGATACTGACTGACAGAGGAAGCCTATTGTTATACTGTAGGTTTGAAATCAGGCTTTGTTGTGTACAATGCCTTTTCTCTTCCAGTTAACCATGTTAATTATTATACAACTGTTAATTAAATATGATTGAAATCAGAGTAAGTTATTAATGAACCTAAGGGATTATTAATGCCGATTGTTCTAAATCCACCCAGTTTGATGGAAGAAAAAAAGGCATGCAGCAAATAAAGGATATTAAAAAGGGTATCTATACCCCAAATTACACACAGACACCTGATCAGAGGAATACATAACATAGGGTGATTTATAATGTATCAGAGGAACTATATATCTAAACAACACTGGAGTAAATGTAGCTGATTAATAAAGGAATACTTGGGAAACACGCTCTCATGTCTGTATGGTAAATCTAAATCTACAGCTAGTCTTAATTCTAAACTAAGCTGCTGTCTGTGGTTTCATATTTAACACACAGACATCAGAGTGGTATCTATCATCTCATCTTACTTTTGGCATGAATGCAAATAATCATAATTCCCAAAATGTCAAACTATTGATTTAAGAGGGACCAGAATCAGGGCGACATACAATACAGTTCATGTGCTGAAAAGAAAAAGAGAGGAATCACGGAGGCTGCCAACCAGCTCATTAATGTAAACTGTTCTTAATAAGTGCAGAGCTTGAATGTCTCCCTCTTGTTCCAAGGGAAAGAAAAAGAAGAGAGGAAAAATAAATCATCTCCTCCACTCATATCTGGAGAAAGACAGTAACCTCCTGCCTGAAAAGTTTTTGATAAGCAACAGCGATACATGCCGCATGCCTAACCGATGCTTGCTGCTTTAAGTCCCATGATCCTTTGTGCCGTCTCTCTGCACAAGAGCCATAATGAAAAACAGGCAAGGCTCTCCCACTGCAGCAACCACAAAAACCTCCACTCACTACACATGAGGGATTAGCCTGCTCATTAGGAGAGAAGGAAGGAGCAGGAGGAGAGGGAAGGAGGACAAAAGAAAAAGGACGCCTTTCCAGGAAACAGGCCATGTTGAGGCAAGGGTCCTCTCGAGAGAGAAAACAGCCAGGTCGCCCTTTTCTTACAGACTATACAAACCACACTGGATGTTTAAAACAGCGACCTGCTTTACATGTGTTGCTTCAATGGTGCGAGTTGAATTGAGGCTACGTTAAGCATGTCAGTGATTCTGCAGACCCGGTTTATGTAAAGCTATACCCTGAGTAATTAGGTTACAATCAGCGTCAGTGACGTTTAAATATACGATTTTCTACACTGTTTTATCAGCTGAGAAAGCAAGTCTCACACTATACCACTTATGCTCTCCAGTTGAGAGAATCTCAAACTGCCGCCGTCAAAATACATGACATTTAGATTATGACTGCTGAATGGAGCAAAGAAAAGAAAAGAAAAAAGAAACATCAGTGGTTTGCAAAACACTCAGTTGCTAGGAACCAGCCTTGGGCCAATTTAATCCATTTAGCTCTTTGAGAGACAAGTTAAAAGGCTCAAGTATTTGAAAGGTTGTTTTTTGGGTATGAGCGATGGCAATTTGAGATGTGTATAACTGCATGATGTCTCAGTGAGTTAGCTGAGGAGGGGAAAAAAACATGCATCAGATTGTTGTTTTCAGGAGTGGGAGGAACTTCAAATTCAGACAGGTAGTGTTTACAGGAGCTGACGCACGCCTTCATCCGTGTAAGCCTGTACTTTGGTTGCTGCTGGATCGGCACATTTTCTTGTATGAGCAGTGTAGCAAACACAAAGTCAAGACAGGATAAAAATATCTTGTAGGAGCCACGGAGCTCATTTAAAAATCAATTCGTGAACTGTCCTTTTCTAAAAGCTGCAATGAAGGATGGTAAAAAATAGGTGTTAAGTGGTCCCAGTCAATGTTCCACTGTGCGCCGCATCCAAACAGCAACCTTTTCCACCTCATTTGTCATAAGCTCCCATAATGCATCAATCAATTACGAAAAAGCTGTTAGCTGAGCAAATAGTGAAAACAGCACAATGTTTTATCTTATAGAAGCCTAATCCACAGTCATTATAATATCAGGAGTGCTGCAGCGAGTAATTACATGCAATGATGAAGTCAGGTGAAAAAAGGTCCTCCAGTCAATCAGTGGAGTTGCCAGGAGAGACATTAGGTTTATATTTGTGGGATAACTTGTTGCATCTAGTTGTGCAACACAAGTTCCATTGCTAGTCAAACATTTGGGAAATATGAATGCTTTTGAAAGCATGAAGGCAGTCTAAGAATACGCACAGGGCCCCAAATTGTTTTCTTCACCCAGGCCATGCATATTTCACCCCAATAATGTGTCATAGCTCGGGGTAAAAAAACAAACACACAGTGAATTCCATGCGTAGTGACAGCTACTTTAATATTTAAAGACACCTTCAGGGCACAAACTTATAATTGTGTTGTAAGTTTGTTGTTTCTTCAAGTTGGCACGTGTACATGTGAGCCTGAAGGCACCTGTGGTCTATGTCAGAGGGTGCTTCCATGCAAATTTGTTAAAGCTGTGGTTGTTGTCTTTTTTTTCACCATCGGCCTAAATGTTGTTATTTAATGTGGAGTGACAGACTGTTAAACCCAGCCGCCTTAAGTAAGTGCTGCATGTACAGATAGACTAAATGAGGCTGCCTAATTTTAGCAGCGATTTTGATGGATGGCATGTTCTCAGCTTTGTTGACAAGCGTATTAGGAAGACGTTACGTTAGCTTTAATGAGATTGTTGGAAATAAGACCAATAAGGTGTACAGGTCTTTTAAAAAACAACCTCAGACAGGGTCATACATATGCAATTGATGCATTTGTTCATTAAATTGTGCTCAAATGAGGGGAAAGTTTCACTTTGTAGTCAAAGAGTCAGCACCTTCAACATTTGAGGACATGGAAATAAAAACGCTTTGTTTGCAGTGTGGAGCTTAGTTCTTGTACATTGAACAATAACTATAAGTTCAGACTGATATTTGTTTAACTAGCTGGCTCGTTAGATGGGCTGGGAATCTTACATTAGAGCAGAATAATCCAATCTTAATTCCAGTCTTCACATATATTTTTTAAAGGATAAATAAATAAATCTTCCTCCAAACTATAAAAAAGATATCACTCTTACTACGCAATTCTTTTCACCACATTAAGAAAACCAAAGCATGACAAACCTGCAATGCCTTGAAGCTGTAGTTGGACAATAGTGTTCAGGGGAGGGGCTTGTTAGTGGGCGATAATAACAACAAATATAAAAATTGTTAATAATTATTCAAACTTACTGTAGGAGAAACTGATGCGCGGTGTGACGTCGTCCTCAGTGGCCATCAGCGATTGGAGGCAGCTAGCCAATAGCATCGCAGCAGCCAGGAGACAGTGGACAGTCGCAGCTAGTGTCCACATGGTTGCCTGATCCTCTGTTTTTAAGATTCCTTAGAATTCATTAAGCTCCTCTTGACTCCACAGAGCTTTATTCTCTCACTCCCATCTTCCTGCAGGCTGAGGGGGAGTAAGCGTGTCCTTGACTTGATTCTTGTACTCCCAGTGGTCCTTACACTCAGTTAGTAGACTCTTAGCACAGAGATAAGGAATCCTTTCTGGATTAAATCCTGCTTGTTGTCATCTTCTCATAGTGCTCTCCGATGGGTCAGCACTAAGCTCCGACCATTGGCCATTTAGTAAAAGTAATGTTGGATCTGCGGAGAGAAGAGAGAGAGAGGTTGTTTCTTTATGTATGATCCAAGAGAACATGTAAAAGCATGAAATGGAGCTCGAGTAACAGATCCATATCCAACTTCTGACGCTATAACCTACAAATGCACAAGAACTGATACAGCTGTTCGAGGTTCGTTCTGTGGGATGGTTTGAATTTACTGCAAACAACAAATCAAGCAATCAAAAGTTAACATTTTTTATCATCGTTTAATCTCTGTCCTGCAACACTGATGGCTTCATCTACAGCTTTGATGACAAAAACAAATATTTAGGCTTCAACTGTTTACTCTTTAACCAAACTGCCAAAGAAAACTCAGAAACCATTCAGACCACCAGCCAGCCAATACGAACACACACACATCATGTGCTAACCAAACAGTCTTTCACAAATCTTTCAAAAACGTCCATCTCGCACAGCAGCCCATCAAGTTTTTCTGTGAGATGAAACACATGTCAGAATCCTTTTTAATCCCTGTATTTAATTACGCTGTCATCAACAATCATGAGAGAGATCCCTAAGAAGATAATATGGCGGCTTGGCTCTAATTGTGTGGCTATGTGGGGAAATAAATGAAAGAACAGACTCCCAAGACATCTCTGTAATTTGTCTCAAAGAGGCGCAATGAACACATCTGCTCTCTGACTTTTATTGGCCTCGATGTGAGTGTGCAGATAAGGTCCATGTAGATGTATAATGGGATTTTATTTTATTAAGTAGGGGATTGGCTTTCTTGGAGAACACTTGAAAACGGTACTACTCCCATCTGCTGTATCCCTCTTTGCTAAAGACACAGTACATAATCTGTATAGCTCTATGATTAAAATAAACTGGAAAATTGTGTTTTGGTATAGTTCTTAAACAAGCAGTGTCACATATTTTGGCCACATGAAGAAAGCACAAACCAGCTGTAAACATCCAATTTGTTCTCCTTTTTGGTCTCCAACACCAACACAACCTATGTTACTCTTAAAGGTGGGGTATGTCATTTTGGAGAACCCAGCTCGAGTGCGCTAGAATTTGAAACTACACAGCCGGAAAAAATCTGCCTCTTCTTTACAGAGCCCCTCCTCCAACACACACGAACGCGCACATGACCAATGAGGGCACGAGATAAATTTGTGCACGAGATGGAAGGCTGACAGGCACCTTTAATCTCAGTTTCGACTTAATTTGAGGGGAAAAAAACTGACAACGAACTGAAGCAAGGCATTCCTAATTTACTGGTTGCATATTTTGCTTGACTTGCAGAGTAAATAAATCCTTAAGTGAGACAGTACAACTGAAACTGTTCTCAGTAATCCCTTCATCAATATTTGCAGGTAGGTGAAAGATTTGTTTGTGTGCATCAGAGCTCTACACTGGAAAAAATGCTGCTCCAAAAACAAATTAAACAATAATGAAAACAAGCCCTTTTCACTTGAAATAAGTACCACAGTCTGCCAATAGAGCAAGTGAAAATGTGCTTGGTAAGATTTCTTGAAATAAGAAGGGATATTTAGATAAATTTGATCTTGTAATTAGCAGGAGAACTCATTTTGAACTATATCTGACCAGAATCAGGAAATGTTGTGTTACAAATGCTCAAACGTTTTATGTTTTCTGATATTAGAAGGTGATTTTCTAATAAATATGTAAAAAATATATATGTGTTTCATCTGAAATATAACTAAAAATAAGATTGTTTGGCTTAACAAGATGATGCATTGTCTAAAAAACAAGACCCGATATCTCAGTGCAATGTTACTTCTGAAGGTATTATGTCTCATATCAGGTGTAGAGACATATTTTGACTAGATATTAGAAACATATACTTGGCAAGACTTCGAGTTTTTTTGTGTACTTGTGTCAATTCAGGTGGAAAGATTTAAACACACAACTAAATAATGTGCAATGTAGGTTTCCTGAAGGGTTTCAGAATATTTGTCTGAAGCAACTACTCAAAGACAACACCTGAGTTACCCACACGTGACAGTTTTTTTCTCGGGCAAATATAGATATAATCAACACAAAGAGGAAGAGAGTAGAAATAAAGACACAGATGTGAATTGGTGATTAAAAGGTCCAACATTTTTTAAATGTCACACAAATAATAGTCACTCCAATTGCATAATATTGTGTCAGTTTAAAAGAAGTACCATGTGTTTTCCCATGTGATAACATCTCTCTCTCTCTCTCTCTCTCTCTCTCTCTCTCTCTCTCTCTCTCTCTCTCTCTCTCTCTCTCTCTCTCTCTCTCCCTCTCCCCATCCATCATAATTGATTTTAAACAGTGTTGACGACCACACAGCGGGTTTCTGAAAGCCTTACGGGCTGCAGAGTTTCCTTAATCCATCCTTCACTTGAAATAAAAACACAACAACAAACTTAAGGCTTGGTGGCAAGTTTCCAGACATCCACAATAGGCCAATTATCCGAGTGCACATATTTGAACAGGTGAGCGCACCAAGATAAAACGTCAGCTCAAACTCACCGGTGACTCCGGAGAGATGAAAGCACTTTACAGCAGAGCCACAATAAATCAAGATATCAGGTCCAACTGAAGTAAGCCTTGTTTATCTTCCTGCAACAGTGTGGACCAAACTGTACCTGTATAGATCCTCTTAATACATACAAATGTTTCTTAAGAAATCCTGAATCACCCCTTGAATCTTTTTCCAATTCACAGCTGACAAAGTGTGCTGTGAAATCACCAGAGGTGGAAGAATTACTGGATTATTGACTTTGAAAAAAAAAAGCTATACTACAGTGTGAACATATCCAAGTCCTGCTTTCAGAAACTGTATTTAAAGGTTGGGTAGGTGAGAATGGAGAGGCACGAGATGGAAGGCTGACAGGCAGGTAGGCCATCCAGTTATTTTAGCCGGGCCGGCTCAGATGATTGGTCGTGCTTTTTACAGCGCTACGAAGCCGTAGCGCTGTAAAAAGCACGACCAATCATCTGAGCCGGCCCGGCTAAAATAACTGGATGGCCTACCTGCCTGTCAGCCTTCCATCTCGTGCCTCTCCATNAAGAAGAGTAACACCAGTGACGGTAACACCAGTGACAATTTGGAGAAAACACTACCATTTTAACAAAATGGCTGCCATGTGTCAGACCAAATATGGCTTCAGTCAATATCAATATCGTTTAACTCTTCAATACAATACATTTTCCCATTCAAATGTTCACCCCTAGGGCTATGAAATGAGTAACACTAATGACAGACTTGAAAGACGCACGTAAAATTTGAAGATAAAATGACACCTTTAACAAACAAAGTAAGAAGTATCTGACTTTCCTTATGTCTTTGTCCACTGCACTGCCTCAAAGGATCTCTTGTTACAGGAGGCACTTCAGAGACAGTACATTATTTCAAAAATAAAAGCGTTTTGTGTAGCAGTAACACCAATCACGTAATTTTGGGTGACTGACATTTATTTGATATTATTAATAATAATTTGCGTTTCTTTTTACCATTTCAGTGTTATATGTAATGCTTGTAATGTTATGTAAATATAAATTAGATTTATTTATTGAAAAAAAAATCTTTTAAATTAAAACTATTGGCTCCACTTCCATGTATGATCAAAGGCAGTTCCTTGAACTTGGCATTTTAAATAAATTGCAATTTATGTATAAAACCATTTTTTATTTATTTTTTATTTAGTACCATTGCAAAGACAATCTCTATTTATTCAACACATATAATGAATGTGAGTATTAGGTCAACGTCATGTATTTTGGTGTCTGCAAAAGTAAGTGACAGCACTTCCACCTTTTCTGTAGAATGACCCAGCTACGTCACTGACTAGCGCTAGCCCTCAGGGCCGTCTAGCTAGTTAGCTGGTGAGCTACATCAGTTCAACTTACTAGGACCAAGAGTATGTCGCCAAACTTCCAGCCCCCCGCTGCTTCATGTGGACAAGCAAACAACACTTAAAAGTGTGAGCGCTGCAAGAGTAGAAACATGACGAAGACAGAGCTGCATCCGGACTGAGAGTGCATAAAAACATGGTATAAGTCACAATGCCTGCAGGGCTAAACACACATAACTTGTGAAAATTAATGAAGACAGCTGGGAGGAAGGACTTCCTAATCTACGTGCTCCTGCCACCTGCAACGCTGCTATCTCGTTTTCTGCCTGTCTGGTGCCAGATCGGTACAGACAGTGCAGAGGTGCAAGGATGACCCTGAGCTGTCATTGTTTTCCTACTCACACCCTTCTTTCTCACTCCCTCCTTCTCTCCATCATTCTGCCTCTCTGTCTCTTTTTAGGGATGGCAGGCTGCACAAAGACAGGTGATTGCTGCTGCAATAGGGTAAAAAATAGTGTGTGTTTTTTCTCTCCATTCAGAGGCCCACTATGTCAGAGCAGAAAGTGTTTGGAATCACTCTCCTGAAATGTCAGTGACTTCCTAACAGGGTGTCCATCAGCACTTTTTCAAACTGACAAGGGAGCCATGAGCTGGTGGGGTGGTGTGTGGTGGGATTGAGATTTTTTAAAAGTCCATCTGCATAAAACTGTTAGCCTGTATGACATCCATGCAATAAGGAAAGGAAAATCAGCATCTGGAACATATCTGTACATGAAAGCTGTAAGACTTATTTATAGTTACCAGGAGTTTGGGTGCATGATGTATGAAATGTGGTTCAATTATTATACCTCCTTGATTATAGCTGTAGTTTATGTCTGTTCCACACACACACACACACACACACACACACACACACACACACACACACACACACACACACACACACACACACACATACACACATACACACACACATGCAGACTTCCACGCTCCTTCTCACACACTTTTACACATACACTACCAGGGGGATTCCTCCGCCACTGCAGCCTCAGCTCGCTCCACCTGGCTCCTGTCTTGCACCGTGGGGGGAAATCACGGTGAGTCCCTCTTTTCTTTTATGACAGCAGGCGATGGTGCTTCACAATAAGACAATAGGATGAGAGGGGTTTTTCTGCAGAGAG